TTCAAAACCTGGAAATATGAGAAGGAAAAAGAAAAAAAAAATAAAAACAAGAAACGCACTGAGACTGTTAAGGGAAACTCAGAAACAGAGAGGTCTAGGAGTAGAGGTGCTTTAGAAGTACTGCTGCCATGTCTAAAGCATTTAAAGGGGAAAAATTAAAGTATTTAAAGGGAAAAAAACACAAAAGACTTAAGGTCATGTTCAGTAGGGAGATGAAACACTTATTTGATTGTTGGCTGGGCCTACATGTAAAGTAGAGATGACAGGCTCTTTTATTTTAATTGTCTTTCCACCACCTTGGTGAGAATAACTAAGACAAGGGCTGGCGGAGTGGCTCAAGTGGTAGAACACCTGCCTAACAAGCGTGAAGCCCTGAGTTCAAACCCCAGTGCCAACCAAAAAAAGAATAAGACAGACCATTTTAACAAGAGTGAAGCTAGGCCTGGTGCCACAAGGTTTTGGCAGTTTGTATAAATTTAGAGGCCAGGAAGACCTTGGCTGGTACCTGGCTTCTCTTTGGATTGCTGCATATTGGGATTGGTCTGCCCCACTGTCAGCTTCCCTGGATGCCAAGGACAAGAACCTTCCTCAAAGTGTTCTTAGCTCTTCTGACTCCATTGAAACCTGTCTTCATCCCCTGGTACCAGGTGGCCTTGTCCACACCAATCAACCCTAGGGTCTCAGCTTCTTCTGTTAGAAAAGGAGGCAGTTAGTACTTCCAATGAACTAATAAATAGGAACTTAGAGGGCAGGACTGGCGTTAGGGTCCCGAGAATGTGGAGACTGACCCTGAAACATCAGTAGTTAGTAACTAGTGTCCGCATGTACACTGGGAACAACTGCCTTTCAAATCCACTGAGAGCCCAGGAAATCAACTCAAGCATTTTCTCAAGCCGTCAGGTAGTGTCATTTTCCCATGTCTGTCACTCAACTCCCTCTTCCTCACAGGACCACGACTGGGGGAAATACTTCACGTGTTGCTCCTGGTATCAGCACTCAAACCAGGTGTCACCATCCTGTCCAACTGTGCATGGTCACTCTCCGGAGCGGCACATGGATGAAGTTCCTAAGCCACCATGACAAGGTAGTGTCATGACAAGAGTCACCTCAAGGCATCTTAAAAAAAAAAGAAGAAAAAAAGAAAGGAGGGCTGGGGAAGTGGCTCAAGTGGTGGAGCGCCTGCCTAGCAAGCATGAGGCCCTGAGTTCCAACCCCAGTGCTGCAAAACCAGAAAAGTCTGTTAAAAAAAAAAAAAGGAGGCCCGCTATGTTGTTCTTTGAGCCAACTTCTTTTTTTTCAACACTATTTTTACTTGCTTACTTAATATCACAAACAAAATGGCATCACATTTCACACTACTGCTTTACTTAAAACTCAACTGATTTATCCAAAGAAGACAAAAAACTTGAGTTGGCAACTGGCACTTTTTTCTCCAGGGAGCACCACTACTTAAATCTGTTTTGAATCCTTTGACAAAAACAGAATCGCTCTATAATGTAAATCTAGTTAGGTCTTACTTGCACACCTCTGAGCCAACTTCTAATGTCATAGACATTAACTGGGAAATCCTGGCAACCACCACTGTGCATTAGGTGTTGTTAGCAAACTGGAAGGAAGGTTCTGGAACCAAACTGTCTGCATTCCAATACCAGCTTCACAGCCTGCTGGCCACAGGCCCTTCTAACCTTCTTGTCCTGTCCGACTCAGTTTTCTCATCTGAATATTCAGGATAATATTGCCTGTCATATGCCTATCTCCTAGGGTTATGGTGAAATTCAGGTATAAAATGTGCTCAGCATGGAGCCTGTCTTGAAGTAAGCAGCCATTAGTAATTGTCGTTAGTGTTGTTGCAATTGTGCCAGCCTTGTTAATTACTGCACACACAGGATCCCACACCAGTAAGAAGGTGGAAACCCTGGCTTTCTGGCTCCCACCTCCCGGCTCTTTCTGTTACCATGTGTTGCTCCTCAACATTTATGATTTCCTTAAATGATTAAAATGCCACAATCTGTTTGATTCCAGGGACACAGAGATATTCTAATTACATAGTGCTGCAAAGAAAAGAGCACTATAAATGAACTCTGCACCTGCCTAAGAAAAACAAAACAAAACAATACCAGACATTTCTCAGCTTCCTGAGAGCTGTACTTCCAGGAGTTTTACTTGGATGTCAAGAGTGATTACTGACCGCCAAGAGAAAAGACTGTGGCGGTGACAGCATAGGCCATAGCATCTCCTCTCTTTGAACTAAGTGCTGATGTCAACTGTGTGCCTCCATTTCAAGGTGGTTCTCTACAGTTTTGCTCCAACTTCACCAAAACAACACAACGGCATGTCACGCTAGCTCTCTGGTTCACTGCCTACTGAGGTCTAAATAGCAGGTGCACTGGTTCCTGCTGTACCACGGGGCGTGGCACTGTTCCAGGATCCTTGGGCACTGAACCTTGCAGAGACCATAAAGTTAATTTTCCAGACCAACTTTATTTAACCTGATATGAACTTCAACAAAATAACTCTGGAGAAAGTTACACTGACTTTCTCACTTCTTTTCAAAATGTTTTTTTTTAATTGTCAAAAAGAAACATTTACCAAGAGAAACCATATTCTAGACTGTAAAACCAACCTCAACACATTTCAAAGAATTTAAATCAAACAAAGTGAGTTCTTTGAAAACAATGGAATTAAACTGGGAAGCAGTAACAGAAGGATCCGGAAAAATCCCCAAATCGTTAGAAGCTAAACAACATACTTCAAAATAACCCATGGGTCAAGTAGGAACTCACAAGGAAAAATAGTAAATATTTTGAACTGAATTAAAATGAAAGTACAACATACAAGATTTCTGTGGTGTCTTTAAAGTGATGCTGAAAGGAAAGATAATGGCCTTAACAATGTGAGAAATGAGCATGGTGGCTCCACCCTGTAATCCCAGCAGTGGAGAGGCTGAGACAGGAGGGCCATGAGTTCCAGACCAACCTGGGCTATATGGAGACCCTATCATAGTCCCTTATGTTTACCATATGCGCTTCTGCAGAAGCAAGTCACTAGATTGGACCTATACTCCAGGGCAAGTGGACATAGGGCACAGATATCAGGACGCAGGGATCATCAGGGCACCCATAGAGATTGCCTACCATGATATCTGCCCCCCAGGTCTCCCAAAACAACAACAAAACAAACAAAAACCTGTATCTCACACTATACTTAATGGTGCAGACTGAGTGCCTTCCTCCTAAGATCAGCAATGACAAGGCTGGGTGCTCTCACCACTCTTAATTTCACGCTAGAGCACCCACCCAGTATAGTCAGCAAGAAAGATAATAAAAGGCACACTAATTAGGAAGAACTAGAACTGTCCCTATTTGCAGATGACATGACAGTCTGCAGGGAAATCCCAAGGAATTTATTAAAAAAAAATTGAGCAGGGCACCGGTGACTCACCCCTGTAATCCTAGCTACACAGGAGGTAGAGATCATGGTTGGAAGCCAGTCAGGGCAAATAGTTCATGAGATTCTATCTCAAAAAAATCCATCACAAAAAAGGGCTGATGGAGTACTCTAGGTGTAGGCTGTGAGTTCAAGCACCAATACGGAAAAAAAAAAAAAAAAAAAAACATGAGAGTGAGAAAACATCCAGATGCCAGAAAAAATTTAAAACCACAAGGGACCATTAAATCACCTATTAAAACAGCTAAAAATCAAAAGAACTAACACACTAAATGCTGGCAAGGACGCAGAGTAATTGGAACACTGCCGGCAGGAGTATAAAATGGCTCAGCCACTTAGGAAAACATTTTGGTGGTTACTTATCAAAAGTCCTCTCCTAAGTATGTTCCCAAGGGAAATGAAAACATAGGTCTGCACAAAAAGTTATGCATGAAATCTTTACAGTGGATTGAAGGATAATCACCCAAAACTGGAAACAACTTAGATGTTCTTCCACTAGGAACAGATAAACATCGGTACATCCAACCAATGGGATACTACTCAGGCGTAGAAAAGGAAGCCACTGCTGACAAATGCAAGACTGGGTGAATCCCAAATACATTCTTACATGAACAAAGCTTACCCTCAAAGGCAGCACACTGTATGGTTCCATTTAGATTACATTCTGGAAAAGGCAAAGCTATGGAGACAAAAAACAAACCAGTGGTTGCCATTTGGGAACAATAGCTATGAGGTTCACAGGCCACCACCAGGCCACCCCTGGACCCCATTTGCCAGGCACCCCCAACCCCTCTTTCCCCAGCTGTAGTTTGTTCCTGAGCTCGGCTCAGATTTGTATTTCCCAAACACAGCTCTGCCTGGGCTTGGTCCTCACGGGCAACCCTGTTAAACTTCCTCTCCTGAGGCCTTGTTTCCAGAACAAGCACTCCCCGGGGTGCTGGGCACATGGAGTGGGGTGGATGGATGAAGTGTTGAGTCTGTCTGCTCAGTGGCATTTCCCTTCTGTCATGATTTCCCCAGGTCCATCAGCTGTCCACGCTTGTGCTCAGATGGGAGTCAGTGGGGAGGAGGATGGGAAAAAATCTAAAACGAGGCAGGCTCTGAAAACCTGCAGCTCCCACATCAGTCAGGTCCCTGCCTGCAGGTGGGGGAAGGGCTGACTCGAGCCCCTCTCAGCCATCGTGCCTTCCTCTGCGTTCCTCTCTCCGCTCATAACCTCCCTGTTCCTACAGCACAGATCAGGACAGACAGACAGAAACCGCCGTCCAGACGCTGACAGGTTAGCAGGAGAAACAGAGGTGAGAGCACAGCGGTTATCCGGAGTGGACGCGCCATTCCAGGCCTGGGGTGCAGCTGCGCAAGACCGGATCGGGCGCAACAGCCCGGGCTGCGGGGGTTGCACTGGTGCGGAGGGCAGAGGGACGCGCGGGTCCCGGCCCGCGTCGCGACCGCTTCTCCAGGGAGGAGGGAGGCGGGCGAGGGGGCGGGGCGGCCCCGCCCAGGCCGGCCCTGGCGCGGCTGGTTCCCATAGGGATCGGATCGGATCGGGTCAGGCCGGGCCACGGGAGCCGAGCCGGGCGCCAGGCAGCGGGGCGGGAGCTGGGCCGCTGCGGGTCAGTGAGTCCCGGGCCGGGCGCGGGTGGGAAGCTCCGGGGCGCGGCGGAGCGCAGAAGTGTGCGCCTCCCGGGGTCCCCGCCGTCCCTGGGGACACCCGGGGGTGTCTTGCTCCGAAGGGAAATGAGACCCGAAATTAGAACCGGGGAAGCCCTCAGTCTTCCGCCTTCCGCAGCGGGCTCAGGTGTCTGAGATCGGATGAACTATGACGTTCAAAAGACAGATTGTCTCGCAGCTGGCTCGTTTTGGGATGAGGGGTTACATGTCACCTTGCAGGGAATCTAACAGGAGATTAAAATTTGGTGACTCAAGGAAGATACAAACCTCTAGGCCCTGGTCCCTGATCGCGGTGCCATTGCTGGGGCCGGGGTCCAGTGTCCATGGATCCAGCCCTAATTCTTTAACAATCTGTTCTAGGTCCTTGACACAACCTGGTTGGGGACTCTCTCGTGCAGTCCGTTCGTGCCAATATTTCATAAGTGACATTTAAAAACTATGTGAAAAATCCATTGGAAGATTTATTCCTCTGTGATGGAGAAGTATGAAAAAATTGGGAAAATTGGAGAAGGATCCTATGGAGTTGTTTTCAAATGCAGAAACAGGGATACGGGGCAGATCGTGGCCATCAAGAAATTTCTGGAATCAGAAGATGACCCTGTCATAAAGAAAATCGCTCTTCGAGAAATCCGCATGCTCAAGGTAACAAGTCGCTTTTCTCTTGAAAGTGCATTTTCAGGCTTAAAAATAAAAAGAAAGTCGTGTTGTGTGTGAAATGAACGTCTTGGGCTGTGGTGACATCTTCCTCCATGGCCTTGTGTCCTCAGTGACACGAGTGGGATGTCCGTGCATCCTGCAGAGTAACTACTTATGCAGACAGGGGCAAGGTGAGGCTCATTTTTAGAGACGCTGTGGGATCTTTTCTTTTTCTTTCCAGTAGCTTCTCTCCCTTATCTTAACCTGTGCACCTGAGTTGTCAGGAGCCATTACACCTGGAGACGACTTTCTCTTGCTAGCATTCTTGAAGTTTAAACTTCGAGGCTCTTTTCTATTGGCATTCATCCAGCAGTCCATTAAGAGAATGCATGAAATTATTCACCTGCTTTCAAACTGCTAGAGCGCTGATAGGACTTCATTAGCCTCCCGATTCCCCACTGGGGAGCATCACAATGTCCAAAAGAAGGGCTTTTGGAAGAGAAGCGGAATGACCATCTTTTCAGTGTTTATTACTTAGCTCAAGGAGAACATGACGTGGGAAGGTGTGTTTCCAAGATGAAAGTGCTTTTTCCTCTCACGGAAAGGGACTTTTCTGAATTTGTGGAAGAGACAGACCAAATCACAGTGCAAGTGTGACTGAATACATTGGGAACAGGGGGGTAGCTTTGGATGGACAGGGTGGTCTTGGTGTTCTGTCCTGTGGAACTAATTGTAGAACAAAGGAAGAGTGACCCGGAGTGAGAGACAAAGGAAGCATCAGGGCTTCACTCTGATTCTTGCATCTCCATTTTTTTCAGGATTCTCTAAAAACCTTTTCACCTTTGAGTGGGAAGTAGCAAGTTTTGGAGAAATTAAATAGGTGGGTAACAGGAATACGTCTCTCCTTGGGTGTGAGATACTTTTAACTAGCAGGATGTGATCTATTCTGAGAAGATAAAGTGTTCCAGTGGGGTGCTTGGACCTCTGTCCTTCCCCACTGTACACAGGGAGAGGTTGCCTCTGTCTCTCGAGAGCTGTTGGTCTCTCTCACTTTCTCGGGCCTCCTCTAGAGGAGACGGTGATCGTTGTTAGTAGTAGTAGTAGTAGTAGTACTGCTACTACTCCTATTGTTTGTGGTGATTATTATTATTACTACTATTACTACTACTATTGTTTGTGGTGCTGAGGATCGAACCCAGGGCTGCATCACGGTAGGCAAGCTTTACCACTGAGCTATGCCCCCCCAGCCTGATCACTGCACTTCAAACACGTCATTTACTCCAAAAAAAGAAAAAGAAAAATTTTTTTCTAGATGAGAGGTGCTCTTTTTCTGACTCTGAAGCTTATCTGTAAAAGCCCTCTCATACCCCTGCCACATTTGGTGTTGCTCCCCAAATTGACTGGGCTCCTCCAGGCTGGGGACCTTGCCTCTGTATTTTTGCGTCCCCAAAGCACACTCCTTGGCACTTTCTGGGCCTCCAGTAAAAGTTATTTTTGCATTTTAATAAAAGTTAATAAGCCTTTAGGAAAGTGGAAGTTGCCTGCAAATTAGGATGTGAGTTGAGCGGCTGAACTGTGTTCTCAATTGAATATTGATGTGTTCTGAAGGTGGAGCCCTCCTTTCAGAAGCTCAGCTCTTAGAAGGGAGGTGAGGTGAATTTCCCCTTGGCTCTCACTCCTTACGCACTGGGTTCCTGATGGGTAGAGCCCAGGTCACTCACCTTGTGTCTCTGTGCCTGGCAAGAACACTTAAAGTGATGGGAGGCATGTTTGAGCTGGACCTTGAAGCATTTAGGGAAGCATGGAGTGAGAGATGAGGCCCTCAGGGCAGTCTGTCCTAGAAGAAGGTGCATAAGTGGAAAGCTCAGTAGATTGAAGGCGACTAGGGAATAACCCCAAAACTTGGCAAGATGCTAGGGACAGAAGGAAGCCAGAGTCCAGTAGGACAGGGTATGAAGCGTGTCCTGGAACACGGGTCTCACCCTGGAAGAGGGAATGGGTAGAGTCCTGGGTCCCAGGTGGTCCGTAGGGTTGAGAGCCTGACTCCAAGGCTTATGTCATAGCCTGTGAAGACAGGGATTGGTGAGATCTGGTAAGTGTGTTAGGGCCCCACTAAGCTGGAATTCAGGTGTAGCTCTGTGACCTTGCCAAGGAGGACACTAAATTGTGGCCAACTGCAGCTCTGTAGCTAGCTCAGTGAGCTGCTGGCGTTTTCTTTGGACACCCTCATGGAGCTGGGGTTTTCTGTGGTGAAGTGCTAAGGTGAGGAAAAGTTCAGAACCTGGGAGAACAGAGGCTGAAGGCACCTTAGCAACCCTAGCCCAGGTAGGCAAGGACAGGCAGGCTGACCCTGACAAGTGGGAGGCCTTGAATATCACGCTAAGGAGTTTGGCTTTCTTCCTAAAAGAAAGGATATTTTAATATTAAAATTTAAAAAAAAAAAAAACTAGAAAAGAAAGTTTTTGAAGAAAAAGTACAGTCATTCCCAAGAAAGATAGTTGGCAAGTATAAGACCTAGTTTTACCTAATATACACACTTTCCTGGTGTGTGTGATTACAAGTGTTGTGTGTTTTGTTCTACTTTTTCTCATTTCACTAATGTATTAATGAAACTAAGGACATCATCGGTTTTGTGCATCCTGGATTTAATGACAGTGAACCCTATGAGTGGAAATGCAAAGTTCCCCAGATGAAGTGATATCCTGCCTGGAGGATCTATATCAGATACAAGATACCAGTACTTCGATACCACTTCTCGCCAAGGGAATCATCCCTCAAATTACATATGTAAGAGAATTTGGTCTGTATGCAACCTCAGCGTTCCTTGTGTGTACGTTTTCCCAATTGCACTGAAAAATTAAAACAATGTCCAATAGTTGCTACAAACTCCTTTAAAAACTGTAATTGTTTCCTTAAGCATATGCTATTATTGGGAAACGGAATTTTCCAGCATTCAGGCAGTTATTAAAGCAGCTTGTCTTCAGTGTTTCACGTTGTTGGTGTGAAATCACGAGCATGTTTTATTAAGGAGCCCGTTTTGTTAAAATTTTTATGAAATACGTATTCCGAACATTTGAAACACTTTTCAAATGCATTATGTCATGCCATTTGAAAAAATAAGTGTGACTTTCTTAAAACTAATTCAGTATTTGTATTAATAAACTGTATTAACTAATATTAATTTATATTAGGAAGCTAAAAGTTACCCACTGTTCACCAGAGGTCTTACCAGGGTCAACTTTTCAATATTTTAATCTTTAACCATAATTTTCTAGGTAATATAATTAGGCTTATAAAAAAAAATTAAGCCAGTTAAAATCACTTAGCTTTTTCTCTACTTTAGGGGCAAAGTAAATACAATTCTAGTGACAGTAATAAAATCTTACTGCAATACCTGGACTCAAATTATTCTGTCCTTTTCAAATTCACTCGTACTGTGAAAAAAAGAAAATAGCCACATATATTCAGTCAGTGTTTTATACACCTGTGTATAAGATAGTTGGTGTGTGTCCACTTGGCCAGTGTTTATAGAATTCCTGCCACGAACCAGGCACTGTTCTTGACCCCTGCCTTCATGAACTTGCACCTTAGTAAGGAGAGGCCAAAAACAAAGTAATTCTATGGTGAGAAATAAAGCAGGCTAAGTGGATAAAAGGCGAGATGGGGGCTTGCTTTTTTCATATGGTGATTAGGGGAAGTCTTTCTGATGAATGAGAAACACTGAACAGAGACCAGAAAGGTGAGATCACTCATGCCACTAACTAGGGAAAAGCATCCCAGACAGCGAGCACTGTAAGTACACAAGCCATAGGCAAGATCAAATGCAGGTTCTTAGCATGTTCATGTGTGTCCTAGGATGAGCAACGAGGCCCGTGTGTGTGCAGCAGAGTGAGCAAGGGTGAAGGTCATGAGAGGCAGTTAGAGTGCTAAGTAGGTCACAGTCAGGTCTTTGGATTTTACTCTGAATGAGATGGGAACCATCATGGGATTTGAAGAGAGGGATGCTTTGGTTGCATCCTAGAAGGATTCCTCTACTGCTGGCTGCTCTAACTTCATGAGCAGGAGATCAGTTAGGATACTGTTACAGCAAACCAGGTGGGAGTTGATGGCACCTGAGTGGGAGAGTGGTGAGAGGTTGTCAGATTCTAGATTTATTCTAGAAGAGCACATAGGAGTCTGATGACTAGATGAGGAATCAAGAATGATTCTGAGGATTGAGGCCGGGGCTATACCTGTAGCTCAGTGGCTGAGTTAATTCCCAGCAACACACATACACATACAAACACACACACACACACACACACAGGTTTTGACTTGAACAACCAGGAAAATGAAGAGATTCTTCATTGTGACAGAGCAACCCAGGAGCAAATTTAGGGAAAAGGAAATAAAGAGTTCTGTTTTGAACAGGTTAAGTTTGAAATGTGAATTCAAGGACACTTGTAAAGTGGCCAGTGGCCACAAGTGTAGCATGCCAGGGAAGTCCAGGTTGGAGCTTCACAGATGGAAGACAAGCACATCAGTGGTACTTAAAGCCATGAGACTAGGTGAGATCACCATGGGGAAAGAGAGACAAATACCATGGACTGGCATTCTGAGGTCAAGAAGATAAAGAGGAGACAGCAGAAATGGCAAGAAGGGGCAATCTTCAAGGTAGGAAGATCCAGACAGCACTGGAATGAAGGAAATGTTTCAAGAATGAAGTGATGGTCAGTGGTGTCAAAGGTCCCCACTAGAACTGGGGATGTGGCTCAATGGTACAGCACTTTCCTAGCATGCTCAAGACCCTGAGTTCATGCACCAAATTTGGAATTTTTTACAAACACTATGCAACAGCATTATAAAAATAAAAAAGTCCCCACTCATAGGGATTTAAAATTAGCCACTGGCTTTGAAAATGTGAGGGCCATTTGAGATCTTGGCTGGAGCTCTTTGGGTGGAGTGGTGGGAAAGAAAGCTCCACCTGCAAGGGCTCGAGGGGCATAAGAGGGACAAAGTGGAGACAG